ACGATGTAGTAACCGGTTCATAAATTCAACGGCACGGATCGGGGATCTCTCAGCTAGGGCTTCGGAAATCGTACAGCATTCGAATAATTTGAACCGCAATGGGGCTTCCGGGGGCGGCGAGTGTCGTTCCTTCGCGCGAAGTCTCTCCGTGGCAGCGTTCGTCTTTTCTCAGGTCTCTCTCTCGTTCTTAATTTTAGCGCTCGCTCGGACATCCGACAAATGACGAGAATCGTCTGCGCGAGAATGCGAGAGCGGCGGGGAGCGAACGACGCGTTATCGATATTTGACGTTGGATCACTCTCGAAATTGAAATGCCGCGGAGGATCCGCCGCGGGGTGACTTTCGTCACTCGGTAGCGGCCGGGGTTCAACGAAGGGTGTTAGACGGCCGTTTTTACGAGCGGGCCTAAGGGCCGCGGCGCGATTAGTTGGCGCGAGTGGCCGGTCCTTCGGCTCGGCAGATTTTACGGAAACATCTCGCGTCCGCCGCGTGGGCGGCGGGGTCTCCCTTTCTCGCCTCTCGCCCCATTCGCCTGCCATACGGCCCTGAGCACGCCGGTGCATTGTACATCGTAATGTATTTCTTTTAGGTACCGCCGACAATAGCGAGCCTGGCGGCGATGAAGGTGGAGGCAGCTGACCCGAAGGTTTCCGGTGAGTTACTATTTCCTCCTGCTGACGGAATTATCGGGATCGTAATTAGATTCGAATCGGGACTGCCGCGTTCGATGACCCTCTGCTCGCGCGAAACAAAAGGACGGCACGAGCACGAGAAAAAAAAAAAAAAGAAGCAAGTGGAGAAAGACAGACCGTCCCGTTGGTGGCGGACGTCGATGGTCGTCGACTTGCTCGTTGCAAGTCCGGTTAAATTAGGTGATTTGTAATCGCTTTAATCGTTGAATCTATGATTAGAACAGCGACAATGTTGTCGATCGAACACACGCGACGACGGCTGACCTTTAACGACGTCGGGATAGAAATAATCGGTATGCGTTCGCGTTCGCCAAAAGTCTGACCGCCGTGTATTCCGGTTGCGGAAGCAGCCGGATGTACGCCGGACTTAACGAACGAATGCAATTAAAGCTTGCCCTTTTCTTATGCATACACATCGAATTACTAATACCATTTAAATGGAAAGAAAAAAACCGCCACATTAATATTAACTTAACATTTTATAAGTGAATCCATTTCTGAACAAACTTGAAAATTCCAGTGCGGCAATCTTGCTTCTTTTTTTTTGCACATATGACTTATTGCGAAATGCTCCCCCCCCCCGCAGAAATCCATTTCCGTTTCTCCCTGCAAAGCGGCGGATTTTCCAACGAGAATTAATAATCGGTCGCGCGTCGCGCAAGCTGGAGAAATCGCATCCAGCGTGCGCCCAGCCGCAGCGGGCCCGCATCTTTGAGTAATCATTGCGCATTCCTGCATGCCACGTGACAAATCTGATGCTATACGTAAGCCGGCTGAGTGCCGTCGGCTCTCCCTACGACCTTTATTTGTCTCGATCCACGCCAAACCCGTGAAACGTGGCCGCGACCTGACGAATCGCGGCCGTCCGCCGCTTTCAGTGTTTTGTGCCCGGGGGCTGTTCCCCCTTTATTGGAATATCCGCCCACAGCATTACGGGAATTATGAAGGAAATGGGATGAGTGCCAACGCGGCTCCCACGAGGGGCTCGAGGGGGCGGTTGCATCGGTTGCATCGATAAAAGAAATCCGGGATTTATCAATTTCTATTTCTCCCCGCGTTGTTTGAAAACGTCTGCGTCTCATATTTTTTTTTTTTTGGTAACAGCCGCACAGCGGCTAAAGTATTTATCTAATCAGGGCAGGAAAAGCTTGCTGCAAGAGGCTTGGAATTTTTATTGGCACAAGTGTGGGACATCGCGATACAAAGTTACTCCCGATTCAATCGTCGGTATGGAGAAATCGGGAATCTGCGACTGCGTATAAATATCGTTCGCTGTGCGCGCGGTAATAGACGGAGCTCTGTATTACATAAACATGCCGATGTTTCTCCGTAAATAGGCACCATTAAGATCAATCGTTTCTCCTCGCCGTCATTTCACTATTGGCACGCGAACCGTCATTTTCTTCGAAAACATTCGCGATGACTCCGCAATCGGCAATTCCCGTCCATCGAAACCGTGAAAAGATTCCGCGACGGAAATCACAGCGCTCGGAATGAAGAGGGACGCGCGCGCGAAGAGGAGCGTCGAGTAGAGAAAGAGAGAGTGGGCGGCCTCGCTTGGATTTTCTCGTCCAGTGACATATTCCCACAATTTCGGATCGGCCAATCGACGCCGGCCGGACGATATTAAACGCGTGGTGGGATCCGCGGCGAAATGGAATAAAATAAAATGTGTACGTTGTACACGTCGTTCGCGGCTAAGCGGGGCATCGAAAGGAGGAGAAAGAGAGAAAGAGAAACGGTCCGCGAGCAAAAGGGGTACCGGCCGGGGAGAAAGAGAATGCAGGCGTGCGAGAGGAAGAGGCCGGTACGTGGATGTGTGCGTATCGTGGAAAGAGAAAGAGAAAGAAAACGCGCCGAGAGAAAGAGGCACGGACGGGAGAGGACGAAGAGAGAGAACGATAGGGCGAGAGAGAGAGATGCTAGCAATCAGAGCTGATTAAGCCCACAACTGGGGAATCTGTGGGGCCAGTGTCTCACGCCAATCTCGCCCAATCAGCCGGTTGGCCGGGGAGATTTAAAAAATAGAATGCCTACTGTCAATTGTCCCATAATTTAAATAAATCGAATAAATGGACAAAGTGGCCAATTAGAGTAGTTGCTGGTTGCTGCTTTAACGCATTATTCTCTCTTTCTCGCAGTGTCTTCGACTCTCCTCGCTCGTCCTCCGCCACCCTCCCCCTCCCTCCCCCCCCGCCCCCCTCCCCCTTCCCTCGCGCCCGCCTTCCTCTTCCTCCTCGCCGAAGATGCGCTCCTATTTTCCTCCCCTCGCGCCCGCCCGATACGCCCGTCGTCGTCCTTTTAATTCTCCGCGTTTGACATCGACGCGCCGCGGCCACCTTGCCTCCGTCGAGGTGCCTTCATTACATCGTGGAGAAGATGACCATCAACGACGTTGCATGCGGCGTAAACGTATGACGTGCTTGTGCGAGATTGGTAATTCGAACATTAGGTCGTTAAGCTCCGCCGGACTTGTTACGGGCATGAACTTTTCAGAATCGCTACCGCACGGTTAGGTCGTTTTGTGACCGGTACTTCGGCGGCGGAGACGGCGGCCCGCCGACAATTGTCTGCGCGCATAAATATTCCTATTTTTATTTTCACTCTGAAACTGATACCTCGAACATTATACTACCACGTTCCCACAGTCTCGGTTGCGGGCATAAATTCACGAGAATTAGTATCGCTTATTCACTTCGCGTTTGGTCTTTAATAAAACTTCTTCGGAACCTTGGGGGATAAACTTTCCAGAATCACCAGCGCGACTTCTTATTTCTCGCATCAATATCTAACATTGGTCTATCGTACTTTCGCGGATTTGTTAAATTCGAAGATAAATCTCCCAAGATTGTCACTCCATTTTATCGCTGGACGTAAAGCTCGTGTGCGAGGTACGTCCTCGGAGAAGAGAAAAAAGAATAAGGAGTTGCGCTCCACTTGTCTCGATCCATCTTGATGAAATGCGGCACTTCCCGGTCTCCGAATTCTACCAGTGGACTTTACTAATTATAACAATTTACGGCTTTAACAATTATCGCCGTCGTACATGCGCCCGGCTCGCCGCCGCCGCCGCCGCCGCCGCCGCCGCCGGTCTGCACCTGTTCGACATACGTTTACGGAGGAGCCTTAACGGCCTCGTTGATATCTGTAGCCATCAATTTCGTGCAAATACAATTTAATTAAACCTCGCCATCGCGCCGCGACCGCGAGTAATATCGACATTGTCGATTACTAACGACCGCATCTGTCAATTTATAAAGGGACACAGTTAATTAATCGACGCGCGTAATGTTTAGAACGTGAGGCGTCGATAGCGTGCAAAAAAATCGCTCGCTTTAATATTCCCACCGCTTTTAATTATCGGTCCCCCGTGCGCGGTGCGTGCGAAGGGGACTCGAATAACGAAATCACAATGAAGCAATTTTAATTCTACAAAAGAAGCAACTGTTAGAAACACATTTTTACCTAATAGGATTGAGCGGGGAATTTAAATGACCGCCTTAGCACATCTAATTACACGAAACAGATTCATTATCATGAAGCCGCGAGTCTGGAAGACGGATAATGTAGGTGTTTCTACGTAGAGGAGCGTAGCCTATCTACACGCGGGCTGCCAGACGCGGGCAGTCGAGGAGCGAGCAGGCAAATAACAAATAAAGCATAAACAGGAGCTACGATAAATAACTGGTGCACCGTTCTCTCTGCATATAGCGCTACGGACCTCCAGGGCCTCGCTGCTCTCTCTCTCTCTCTCTCTCTCTCCTTCCCCCCGACCCGTCTCGCCGTACCACACCGCCCCCACTATATTACCTGCACAGGATCCGCATACGTACGTGCAACGATTCAGACACCAAAGAGTTCAAACCTCGGCGACCTTTAGTTTCCGTCCATAACGCGCGGACGACCGCAGGAAATTAAAGAATCTTTTAACCGCCTCCGTGCGTACTTTTTGAAAAGCAATTTGGATGATTCTGAAAGGCATATTGGGCTATTACCGTAGGAAGCGTACATCAATATTCATAAGATTGCTGAATCATTCCCCGGTATAGCCATATGTGGCTGGGTATTAAGAATTATTAAATTAAGGAGTGACGTATATTTCTGGCAAAATTATCTTCTGGGAAGCATAGCTTCTTTGAAATTGCATTATCGAACCTGCAAATAGTTCATATTGTCATATTTTTATATTTCTATTTTTGTTACTTTATCTATATTTAATAAAAAATAATTAGACATTTATTTCACATTTAAATGTATTTAAATTTATACACTACCATTTTATGAAATTTTGTTTTTGAAAAAAAAAAAAATTATTTATATAATTCTTCATCAATTTTTATGCTAATTTTTGCTTGTGTTTAAATTCGTGAATTGGATTTTGTTATTTGAAATTGAACAACGCGATTGTGATGACGGACGATAGCTGTTTTGTTGCCACGTCCGTTTCTCGAGCGAGCAACCGTTAGCCTTGAAGAAATACCATTAAAAACCGATATGCGCAGTGAAAGGAAGCGAGGGAGACGGAGAGGAAAACAAATTTCACGGTTCATTCGAAACTTTTTAAATGAATTTGCACGCACCGTCCGCCACGCTCCGAAAGGGTTGAAACTTTACGAATTAACCCCTAAATAAATATTTGACAGGTAAATTACTGCCCGCATTGTGCTGCCCTTTTCGGAAACGTGTCGTTTTATCGAATTATTGAAAGAACATAAGTGCGCGTCAGTTTCGTCTGCATTTGTAACGGACGACATTTCTTGTCCGCGCCGGGAGTTTTCAGTACGACGATAAAAATATGCGGCTACAATTCCTGCCATCTGCGTTCTCGCGGTAACGATCGCACGGTTCGCCTAAACTCGCGCAGACAATGGACAATTTCATCGACGGGGACGCGAACAATGCTCGCCATAATTCAGTGGCCCACTCGCGTTCCCAAGCATTCTCGCGAAACGGCCCGTCAT